GTTAGTGCTCTCCGCAGTGTGGTTTGTGTGGGAGGATTAACGACGTTCTTATCGTTTGTTGTCTCACTTTAAGTGTAGTTTTGGCCTTGGTGGCACCAACACCAGCACGGACCAGCCGCGAGCCTCTGACCATAAGTCTAGGGTCACGCGCTGCCAAGTTTCACTACCAAACCGCGGCGGTTCCTGAAAGAGTAAAGCTCAAAAGGTCTTGTTAATTCAGCCGTCAGAAGAAGGTCAAGCCTCAGCACAAAGAGACGATTCGATTGTCCGTTTCATGATATGGTCTTATTAAGCTACTAGAAAGAATCGGCTTCATGAATTTATATTTTGCTTTTTCATAATAATTATCTATTATTTTTTTCCTATCATAGACTCTTGACCATAGAATCGTGATTGCGTAGAACTACAGTAAATCAGAGGATTCAGTTAATCTCAGATAAGTATCACACATTCAAAGCAGACACAGATGAGGACGTTGTTGTTCTTTCTCTACCGTATTCTTCACTTTAAAATCTAAAACTGCTCACTCACTCCTCTTGTAAGTGGCTTCACCCTCACTAGTTACCGGTAGTTATGTGTATGGCAGTAGTGACGAGCCTTAATAAGTAGACACCAATCTCCTTGTGCAGCTTTTGATGTGGTCGATTCCTCCCTGTACAATAGTTTACCCTCCCGAAAGATGTATTAACTCCGTTTTCTATCATGAGTACTTGAGAGAGTCTCCAGAGAAATACCAAAAAATATATATATATCTTAGCACTGTGTTAGCACTTTACGCCTATCTAAGAGTTTGCTGCGAGTGGAAATGTGTACTTACAAACTTTCTTTTTTGTTACATATAATGCATGGTTCTGTTGGCACTTGAGAGCATATTTGAATCATATGTAGTACACCTTGTCCCTCACTGCCAGAGAAGCCCGAACAGAAGAGAGAAATCACAAAGAACTGAGAGAAACACGAAAACATGTTGATCCCCGCCAGTGCCGCTCACTCACATTCTTTCGCTGCCATTCAGTGCCCTGAAGTGTTTGTCTAAGCCGAACTGAACACGGTTCATTACTCTATTGTAAGGCGAACCTCATCCACTTTGCCAAAACATTTTTTTTACTTATAAATTCATTATTTTTTACTCTCTAGAAAGAAAAAAGAAGAGGTAGTTCTTTGGCATTCTTGATATAACCTGTTTCAAATCTTAGGCGTTCCCCGCTGAGACAGCTTCCCTAAGAGATGAGACATTCGATTGCTTTCATTGCTCAGAAGTTGGTGACACTAAAGAATCTAATGCGATGCCTTTATTCCTTCGTGCATTCTAATCCTCATTTCGTTCCTCCTCTCTGATTTCTTAAACAACTTTATTTATATATATATGACATAAGGTTTTTTGTTCGTTTATACTTAGAAGTACATTTGATATGATTCATGGTGCATTTGATTATATTTGGTTTATTTACTTTTTTTCAGTTTTAGAGATTAATCTTCTTTTGATTACGAAAAGGTCCTGTAATACCTCCCTCCCCTTTTTCTATGTAGCATTCATGATTTGCATTTAAGTTATTCATGTGATTTATTCCAGTATTGTTGTAATAATCTGCCCACGATCTTGGGATAATGGTCAGGGATGCGCGAATAGAGAAGAGAACTGAATGGGAATAAAGTATTGCCGATTCTTAACATATTGAGAAATTCTTTGGGAAATATTGTTTAGGAAATTTCATGCCGGTTCCATCATGCCTTTTGTTGTCAATTTGATGTATGTGTGTGTTTGTGTGTGTGTGTGTGTGTGTGTGTGTGTGTGTGTGTGTGTGTGTGTGTGTGTGTGTGTGTTTGTTTTTATGTACGTGTATGTGTCTATGTTTGTGTGTTTGTGATTTCGTGTATTTGTAGCTCTAATTAAGATCAGTTACTTATATGATCAAATAACCCAATATCTTATTAACGTAAAATGCCCGAGGAAATATATGAATCTCTGAACAGTTTCTCGAGATCGTGGGACAGATGAAAGTGATGTTTTCGATGTTGTAATTGTGTGTTTGTTTGATCGTATTTATTCTTCTTTGTAAAACCTCCCACTCTACCAGTTCCTTAGCACGAATGTGTGTTGTATGTAGTGTTGAAAAGGGTTATCAATATGTGTATGGTTGTGTGTGTGGGGGGAGAGGGAGAGATAGAGAGAGAGTGTGTGAGTGTGTGTGTGTGTTCGTATTTGCTTGTGATCTTGTGACTATGGCTGCGTGCGTGCGACTGGGTCCTTTGTCTCTATAACATCACCATGACACCATTCTAACCCGTCTTGTTCATCTTTTTGGGGAATTGGTGTTGAAGTCATGGTGATCTCAAGACCCAATATATACCCTTTAGATTGCACATTGAGTGTTGTTCATCTGTTGTGTTGCACAATCGTACGTCATGTATGTCGGTGTTCATAACTTATCATCTGTATATACTAAAAGAAAAAAAAATAACTTACTTTTTCTCTCTAATCGTGTGATCCAAACTAATC